GAGAGAGAGAGAGAGAGAGAGAGAGAGAGAGAGAAAGTAATAATATTTTGTCAATTGCATCCTCTTCTTCCAATACCTCCGTGCCCTCTGGAATGTATTTAGCTATTGAACTAGGGAACAGGAACTAAGAAATTGCCCGAAGAGAATATCAGCCTCACAGCCACCCTCGTGGACGTGGTCAGTGCTACTCTGGGCCCACACCTGTCCTTCCTGTCTGGGCCTCGGGGCCTGCTCATGGGCCTGCTCTTCCCACAGCAGTGTTGTGACCTGGGCTACCATGCCAGCCTGAACCGGGCGCTGCGCACCTTCCTCTCCGCGGAGCTGAACCTGGAGCAGTCAAAGCATGAAGGCCTGGATGCCATTGAGAACGCTGTGGAAAACCTGGATGCCACCAGTGACAAGCAGCGCCTCATGGAGATGTACAACAACGTCTTCTGCCCACCCATGAAGTTTGAGTTCCAGCCCCACATGGGGGACATGGTGAGTTCCTGGTTCCACCCCACTCCCCCCAGAGACTAGCGGTTACTTGTGTCTAAATTCACTTCACTGAGATCACTGAAAGGCCTGAGGCTGACTTTCCATCACGAGTGAACTGTGGTGGGACTTCTACAGGGAATACACAGTGATGTGAAAGATAAAAAAAATAAATAAAAATTTAAATGCTGTCCCCAGGCCGTGGGTGAGAGCCCTCCCTGAATTTGCAGTCTGGAGAGTCGAGGCCATCAGAACAATGCATGTGGAAGGTGTCCAGGGAGATGAGCAGCAGTGAAAGCAGGAAGAAATGGGAGGTGTGATCTAAAAATGACTAAGAGTTGAGTGGGTGAGAGGGAATGGAGCAATGGGGTGGCACCCCAAGTGGTCAGCTTGAAGGAAATGAGAGCTGAGAGGGGCCCGGTGCCGAAGACGTTCGATGGACAGAGGGCTGAGCCAGGTATCGATGTGATAATTAGTCATTTGGCAGAATTCTCAAGGATTTTATTCTCCTGTGTTTAGAAGATTGTGAGAAAAGGTGTGGTTTGGCTTGGGCTTGGACACAAAAGAATGGAACTCAATCAGGGACAGGACACACCCGAAGCTAGGTGCTGGGCAAGGGAGCCTGGACCTGGGGCCTGTTTTGGGTTCATTCCTCTAGCGACTTCCAGAGAGCGCACGTACACTAACATGAAAGGAACATGAAGCTGCTTGGTTTTCATTACTCCGAACCTGGAGTTTCACTTCTCGCGGTCAGACGCAAAAACTGAGGGAGCCTTGCCCTTGTGGGAGACACGCCTCACCCTGCTGGTGAACTAGGGGGAGGGATCAGCTTCCATAATGGAGAAGGCTCAGCCTGGGTCTTCCGGCATGGCTGAACAGATGAGTGAGAATGTTTTAATCAAGAATGGACTTTCTCTCCCTGCTCCACGCCTGCACGTCAGTCCATTCTCAGGTGGCCGTCCTGGGACAGAAGATGACTGTGATGCCAGCCCTAGACCCCTGTGGTAGAAATCTAGCAGGAATAGCGCCGCTGCCCTCCTTGCAGTCCACATCAAGTCTGTGCCTCCTTGGTCCCAGGGATGCTGTGGTGGTCCCTGAGCCAGTCACTCAGATTGGCCTATGCCCTGATCACATGTGCCTTTGGCCACATGGGCCCCCCATCCAAAGCTGGTGGCCTGGGTGGTGGAATGGGGGTTTCCCCAAGGATAGCAGTGTTAGGGTGCCGGGCAATTGGACGTGGTGTGTCCCCTCGCCAGGGTTGGCACTCACGTAGGAGTAGCACCCAGATTCATAGAAAACCCTGCTTCAGAATGGTGATTGTCACAGCGGAGCTGGTGGTTTGCTGTCATCCTTTGGCCACTGGGAGAGTGGGACATTTCTGTCTTGAGGATGATTTCTTGTTGCTGTGAACGCATGAGCAGTCAGAGCAGGGGACGCACGTCACCAGGTCCCTAGAGGTCCTGTTCTTACCTGTCCTGCCTTCTGACTAACCTGCCATCCAAACCCCTTCTCCGGCTGCTACTAAGAGTCCTTCCTACCTAAGAATCAGTGGAACTTGGGGACCAGCTGAGTGGAGCGATACATTTTCTGGTGTTGACTGAGTTGCCTTCTGAGCCAAACAGCTTGTCTCCATAAAGGGGGGATCCAGCGCTGGGTGTGCAGGCCGCCTCCTCCCCCTGTCAGAGCTTTGCGCCCCTACTCTGCTGCACAGCTGGAAGGCATTACCTCACAGAGCAGCACAGCCGTGGAGGGCCCTGCCAGAGGCAGCATCAGCAGCGCTGCCGCTTCTTAAAGGAGCAGGCACGGATGTGGTTTCTCCTTCCACGATCCTCCCTGCTAGGTCTACATTGCTTTAAAAATCAGTAGGTCCTGGTTCCCCCTAGGCGCCCTCCCTGTTTGTGATCTCCTGGGCCAGACAGGGGCCAGTCCTAGAATCCGTAAAGGTCCTGCGTTGGGCCTAGCCTTCCTTTGATGGGAAAATAAAAGGGAATGAGGGGGCACGTTTCCCTTGGTGCTTGCAGTCAGCCTCTTCCCATTGGTGTGGGTTGTCTGTAGACTGCTTTGGCAACAAGAGGGAAGTCCTTGAAGCAAGGCCAAGTTCGGGTGGCATTTTGACTGGGAGCCCTGACATCGGCCGAGGCCCCCCACTGACTGCTGATCTGAGGCGCTCAGCACATAAGTTAATGCCAAGTGTTCTGAGATGTACTAGGAGGAGGTGCTTGGCTCCATTGTTGGTGCCCCCAGAGGCTGATGGGGTTCTGGATGCCTAACCAGTGACATCAGGCTGCCAGAGAGCTTCATTCCTGGCACGAACCCATCCTGGCCACTGAGTTTCTCCATTGTGTCTGCTTATTCAAGAACTAGAATGAAGTCAGCGCTCTTCAGATCTGAGAGAGTTGGCTCAGGCCTGTCTCTCAGCCAGGGGAGGAGGTCACCTCAGTTGGGAGATTGAAAACCAGTAGAGGAAATTGTCAAGTCTCAGCCCCTCCATTTGAAGAGAGGTTTTGTCTGTTCAAACAAGAAAATGGTCTGTGGGCCTGAGAATGTGCCCACTCATTGTGGGGAAGGAGGAGGATGGTTCCATCCACATGTCCCTGTAGACCATAGACTCAGGGCCACATGGTGGCAAGATGACATGGGTCCGAACCTGCCAGCCTTCTGTTAATCATATGTCATCCTGGGGACTGTGGATGACCTCATGCCATGCCACAGCCATGCTTCCATCAAGAGACGGGGATCCTTGAGGGCAGGGCAGGCCTTTCCTGCACAGACGTGCTGAAGATCTCGGATAAAGTGATGGCTCTTTGAAAAATGCTAAGCACCACCAGATTCCACTACTTCTGGTATCTCCTGCAGACTTGTTCCTGGCTTCACACTTTCTCATTGAGTCAGAGCTCTCATTGCATGGCCCAGATTTATAAACACACACTGGCTGCCAACAGCAGCAAGTTAGCCTCCTGACCCACTTCTCTCCTGCTTTCACTCTGGTGTACAGCGGGATGAGGGGGAGGGGCCAGAGGTGGCCACTTGGACCTCTAGCAGGAAATGATTCCTGTGCCAGGACATCGTGCATCTGGGGCTGGGGCCGCCCAAGATTTGCCTCTGCATCCTCTGGCTTTCCTGGACCCACAGCCTCTGTGGAGAACTTTCCTGGCCAAGCACCAGCCTGAAGGTGATCTCCAAAAAGAAAGCGCTGGTCTTTCTAGATATCTAGGCCCCACTATGTGGTCCTGGAGGAGACCCCAACTTTTACACTCGACTTTGTTTACCAGCGAAACTGTGAGCCTCTTGACTTGACTATAAGTCGTTTCATTAGTGGTAACGGGACTCTGGAACCACCAAAAAAACTGTGTCCTCTTCCTGACCTGGGATTGGTTTCTCTTGGCAGGCGTCCCAGCTCTGTGCTCAGCAGCCTGTTCAAAGTGAGCTGGTACAGAGATGCCAGCAACTGCAGTCTCGCTTATCCACCCTGAAGATTGAGAACGAAGAGGTGAGTTGGCTGCTGTAGACTCAAGGACAATGTCTGAGTTTCTCTGTGAACCTCTTGCTGCTGCCCGTGTGTAAGCAGGTGCAGGAGCACGCGGGGCACATCCAGCTGCTGCAAACATTTCCTAGCCAAATGTAGGCTTGGATTTTCCCCCTCGGCTACATCCTGCCCTTCAACTCCAGGAAGTTGCTCTTGCTCTGCCAAAGGTTGAGGTCTATTTTGAGCTTTGACAAAGTGCTCCCCCCGTTCCTTACACATTTAATCAAAATGGCATTTGGCAGCTGTGTGAACAATATTGTGTCTCTGAAACCACCCACTCATGCCTAACTTTTCCCAGCATTTTCAAGCAAACAGAGTTCTTTGCCTTTGACACTTCAGATATCTCTGTCCTCTTAGAAAGGATGACCCTCTTATGCGCCTTGAATATTTGCCTTCCACAACCAGTTCTAAAGGGCAGTAGGAGTGATTATTCAGTGCCTTTTTTAAAAAAAAAAGCTCGGTGACTTCTTCCCGGCTTTTCCATAAGTTACTTTCCCTGTGAAGATCAGGTAGGACTGGGGATGGACCACTTAGTTTACAAATGGGGAAGCAAAGTTCAACAATTTATCACGATCATGAAACAGACTCTGGAGCGCTGCAGGATAGGCCCCTCGCCCATTTTAACAAGCACTTGGATTTTGGGCTTGGTTTGAATTGGTCTTACTCTCCCTTAGCATTTCCAATAAAAGAACTAGGGGTCAAGGTTGTAGCATGAAGGGCATGATGGTATTGAGATCCCCAGAGGAGGGAGCCCAGAGCTGCCCCCCAAAGCACGCACCCTCCTTTCCTGGCCCACCTCTAAGCTGCTTACTCGCCAGCCATTGCATAGCCTGTCTCATGGGTGGTGTTGACTCTGGTTGTGGCAGGTAAAGAAGACAATGGAGGCCACACTGCAGACCATCCAGGACATTGTGACCGTTGAAGACTTTGACGTGTCTGACTGCTTCCAGTACAGCAACTCTATGGAGTCTGTCAAGTCCACAGTCTCTGAGACTTTCATGAGCAAGCCCAGCATTGCCAAGAGGAGAGCCAATCAGCAAGAGACAGAGCAGTTCTATTTCACGGTAAGGGAGCTCGGTGGCCTTTCAAGGGCCCCAGCAGGCGTGGTGGTGCACCAGCCACATGGACCCAGAGTCCTCGAGAGTATCTGAAGAACGAGCTCAGGGTACCTGAAATTTGGAGCTAGGTGGATTTGGAGACTGTTGCTAAGCTCAACAATAGGCAGGGGACCCCCAGGTGCGTCCTAACCTGTTGCACCATGAGGGAGGGCCAATCTGATGATTTTTTTTTTTAATAATTTGCATGATGGGAAATTGTTTTTTATTATTATTCTTAAAATTCAAAGCGACAGGTAGTGTGCAGTATTATGGGTTTGCAGAGAATTCCAAAAGTTGTATTTTGTTATTATGTATCTCCCAGTCTTTTTTCAGACAGAAGGACACCCCTCCCTTTTTTTTTTTGTTTTTTAAATAGCCTTAAAATTCTTTTGGAAGATTGCTGGCTGGTCTTAGTGCTGCTTTTTAATAATTAAGTTATTTTGAGCTTGCCAAGCAGAATTTATTACTTGAACCAAAATTTATTTCTTAATCTGATGACCAAGAAAGGCAAAATTAAGTTTGCAGATGTGAGATGAAATATAGCCAGTGAATATTATATACTGATTTTGAATGAGAGGAATTAACTTGTTTTTCAGTCAAGGAACACAATCTGCATGAGTAAATTGAATTTCTTCTCCAACGAGAACAATTTGTCTGATTCTTCTTTGAACACTACCCTTTCTCCATTAAGGACACTAGTGATTTGTTATCTTTTCAAAAAAAGAAATCTGTTTTTTAATTGTTAAGCTCATGATTCTTCAGATTTTTTTTTAACCTGGAATAAACTATTGAAAGGGAGTGATTTAACAGTATTATTCTTTTTAAAATAACTTCCTGATTGTTATGCAGAGCAAAACTTGCTTGTTACATAAGATTTAGAAGTGGAAAGAAGAAAATAAAAATTATCCATAATGCCACTACCTGAAGATACTAGTGTTAGGCTGGTCTCTTCTCTGTGCACTTAATAAACAAATGTGCTAATATATATTTGTTATTTTATTGCAAATTTGGGATACTGCTGTACATACTTTTTTTTTTTAAAGATTGATTTATTTATGCATACAGAACTGGAGTACAGGCCAGAGGTTCAGGGGCGGTGAGAAGATTCACCAGAGACAGAGTGGGAGAGTGGGGAGCAGTACAGGCAGATCAATGAAGTACACTGCTGAGGGGAGCAGCAGGCGAGACTGGAGAGGTCTGCCACACCATGTGGGTCACCTCAAGGGCTGGAGATTGAACTTGCACTGAAGGCAGCTGTGGCCAGCTTAGAGTGCTGTGCATTAACCTGTTGCGCCACCAGGGAGTTCCTGTACATACTATTTTATAATCAGTTGTTTCTGTCTAATATGTGGTTGATATTATTCTAAGACGTTTAATATATGAACAAAATATTGAACTCTATAGAGAAATAATAAAATGATATTTTGTCTCATTCATTCATTTTTATAAAATATTTAGCATACTGTCTAGATTTCACTAGTGCTCAAAAAATGCTGAAAATTTATTATCAGTAGCTATGTTATTATTAATGTAGTCTTTAATCATTGCTAAATTATTCATTGACTGTAAAGTACCATGTGCCAGCCACTGTGCCATGAGCTGGGAATGCTGAGAATATAAAATGAAGATGCAGGTGATGGAATGAGGCATTTCATGAAGGGAGGACTTTCATCTTTACTTACTGTATTTATACTGTACATTATGCATTTATAATAGGTTGATTATTCATAATAGTAATAGTAAAAATGCACACTAAAAGACGTGAATGCTTACGTGAACACATGCAAACGTGACAACCAGGATGAATGGAGTCGGGAAGCCTCACACCCAAAGCGACCTGTGTACGGATGAGCCAGCAGGCAGGGGGGCAGAAGGAGGCACAGCAGCATGCAGACCATGAAGCTTTAGAAATCTACTGTAGGCCCGCCCTGGTGGTGCAGCGGGTTGAAGCACAGCACTGAGAAGCTAAAGCCACTTCAGCATGCATTCGATCCCTAGCCCCGGAGGTGACCACATGGTCCAGCAGACCTCTCCTGTCCCGCCCGCTGCTCCCCTCAGCAGTGTACTTCACTGATCTGCCTGTTCTGCTCCCCGCTCTGTCTCTGGTGAAGCCTCTCACTGCCCCCGCACCTCTGGTCTGTACCCCAGTTCTGTACGAATAAATAAATAAATCTTTAAAAAAAGAGAAAAAAGAACCTACTGTAGACAGGGAGAGGACTTCCTGGCTGGAACAAGGGCTGTCTCCACCGAGTGAGCACCGTTACCTCAGGGACTTGTTGAACAAATCTTTTCTAATAGGTATGCTTGGCTGGTCTATCTGGACTGCTTAGATCTAACAACTTTAATAACCCAATCACATGGCATTACAGGATTTCTATTCTTCTTTGGTTAAATTAGAAATTTTATATTTAAGACTGTCAGGGTTACCTTTTGGCTTTAAATTAAGCTATAATAATTATGTTCAAAAGTTGACAGTATTAAGAGCAGAAATGATCACATTCAAACTGGTGACCTCTCAGATCTGCCTGCCCTCTCACATCTGAGCAGACTCATTGAACGTTCTGCAACCTGTTTCCTGGCGCTTGTGATCATAGCGCAACTTCCCAAAATTGTGTGCAGATTTCCTTGGCGAACAGGAATGGTTTTTATCTGAACTTGTCTGGTGCTGGATTTACAAGAGCTCCTCATTTTTGTGATGGGTGTTTGGAATGCATCAGATAATTCAATTCATGATAAATGGCTTTTGGGGGTGATGAAGTGGACATGTGAGAATAAAGCATGTTCATGTTAAGTGGGACGGCTCCTGTGCGTGCCAAGCCGTGCAGGGCCACACGGCTGCCAGTGCGCTTCCTTGTGTCTGTTGCCTCCACACATGTTGCCCATGTGTTCCCCAGCGCCCTTCTAAAACCCCAGAGCAGCGCTTCTTGCTAGGTCCCTTCTGTTGGGAAGTCGGGGAGCAGTCCTGGCTTTGACCCCATCAGTGTGCTCGATGACCAAGAGGGCTGCTAAGTGCTCTCCAGGCCCTGTCAGCTGTCGTCAGGCTGATGTGCCCCAGTGACATCAGTTGGAACTCTGAAACAGGACCTAGAAAGGTCAGTCATTTCCAAGAATCCCAGGAAAATAATAATGGCATTTTCAAGCTTGAAGTGATTTTTGAAAATAATGTAACCAAACCTCAAACCTTGTCATAGGAGAGGTTAAAAAAAAAAAAAAACCTTTGCCAGTGTTGGGAGGATGGGCAGCTTGTGCAAGGGCCTTAGCGAGAGCTCAAACCAGAACTCTGTTGCTGGTCTCAGGCCACAGGAAATTCTCCAGAGCCTGCTGAAGGAGCTAAGGTGAGAGAAGGCCCAGAGTCAGCCCAGCCACCTTCTTTTCTTTGATCTAAGTGAGGGTGTGTTTTCTAATGGCCCTGTCTTTGTAAAAATCATCTTCTATAACATGCAATCCAGGAATATCAATATCTACTCTTTTCTTTTATTATGAATGATAAGTTTTTGAAAGATGATGCAGACTTGTCCCCCTCCCCCACCTCTGTCAGTGGTGGAAAGTTTTTGTGTTCTTCCAGAGATTTTTTTTTTCTAGGTGTAGACTATACTGATGTGTCTTTTGATACAATTAGAAATGGAATGAGACCCTCCCTGGTGGCACAACAAGTTAAGGCACAGTACTGCAAGTGAGCCACAGCTACTTCACTGTGAGTTCAGTCCCTGGCCAAGGAGCTGACCCACATGGCATATGCAGCAGACCTCTCCTGATCCGCCTGCTGCTCCTCTCAGCAGTGTATTTCAGTACATCTGCCTGTTTTGCCCCCCCCCCACTCTGTCTCTGGTGAGTCCTCTCACCGCCCCTGCACCTCTGGCCTGTACCCCAGTTCTATATGCATAAATAAATCTTTTTTTTTAAGTTAAATTAAAAATGAAATAAAATAAATAGAAATGCAAATAAAAGTATGCCAATACTCTGCTCTTCATGTTGCTTTTTCCAATTAATTTATTTTGGATATTTTTATAATAGTCCAAAAAGAGCTGTCTTCTTTTTTTAATGGCTGCACAGAATTACCAGCCCCCTGCTCAGTGGGCCGTAAAGCTCACTGTTTAGCCAAGGATTGTCAGAGTCTTAGAAGACTGGTGTTTCTTCTGAGTATTTCCATGTATGGGGGAATAGAGTGGGAAGGGGTTAGGGACCAGGGCTGACAAAATAAATAAACCTAGACTGCCTGGCCTTGAGGACAGGTTTGGGTAAGGTAATAGGACGTGCCACGCTACGGCCTTTGGGTCAGTGTTCTAGAACACGAGATGGGGACCAGGCTCAGATCTTTTTTCTTTTGGTGTTCTCTGGAGGCAGCTTAGTACATGTGTATTAATGAATGTACAGGTGCAAGTGACTGAATGCCCCACTCCTTCATTTAAAGGGGAAGAGGTGTTCCTCTTTAAAAGCTTGCTCTTACGTAGTCTGACAGCTGTTTCCTACTTAAAAAACCGAAGGAGAGGAGGGGAAACATCAGCGAGTCTGGATGACAGGGAAGCAGCCACAGTAAGAACAACTGTGCCTCTCTGAGAAGGCCAGGCTCACTGCTCCTCCCACCCTGCCCCCTGCTTCAGTGGGGACTTAACGGCCTTGATCACACAGCTCAGATCCAAAGCATGATCCCCATGAGTTTTATGTGCTCATGATGAGTCTCTTTAAGGGAAGAGGCATTTCAAAATGAAATTTGAAAAGCATTTCTAAGCGTCTCGCTAACTATTTTTAAGGCCAGAAACCGGCTTTGTGTGACTTTCTTAAATACCAGCACAAAGCAAAGGAGTTCAGGGAAGGATGCGCAAGAGATTCTGGGACAATGTTTTTGATTACCTGCTAATTAGCAGACTCTCTGCTAATGATAATCTCAGCCATGCTTATCGCTCTGTTCATCTTCAGCAGCCTTTGAAAAAGACTTAAGCTCCATTTTCAGGTGGGGAAACTGAGACCCTGGGGGTTAAGTGACTTGCCTGGGGCTAGAAGAGTTATTAAGTGGTAGAACTAGAATATTCCACTTCAGTCTTCTCCATTTTACTACAACTAAAAGGGAGGAAAGGCTCAGATTATTATGTTAATTATATTAATACTTTTCAGTAATGAAAACTGATTGCTGACAGTTAATAACTAATGAGGAACTATTGAAAGAACTTGATGTGATCATAAAAACTGAATTGAAGGTCCATAATGGCAAAAGACAAAACCACCTGGTAGACCCTCTGCTTTCCTTCCTACTTTTTGAAGAAATTCTGTTTCAGTAATGAGTATCCAATGTGTGTATATGTGTGGGGGGTTGGGGGGCGGGGAACAGAGATTTGACTTACTCTGGCGAATAATAAGAACAGAAAACTACCCTTTCTTTCCTCCATGGAGGAAAACTCCAGCTAATTGTCTACTTTTGGAATACACTTTAAATAAGGACAGTGACTCCTTTTGCCCGATGAAGGGATTTTTGAGACTGCACAGGTCTTTTCTGGTCCCTTGGTCTTCAGAAAGACACCCCTCCCTCCTCTGCCATCTGCTGTCTCTGCTCCTGCATCTGTCTGGTCAGCAGAGTTGACACCCCGAACTCAGCTCTGCCAGCCAAGGGCCAGTTTAGCTTTCCTGAAGATGAACCCTGACTCCCAGGCAGGCTGGGGAAGCGATAAATAACACATCTGCAAGCTCTGGGGTGCCCTCACTGTCCCAAACCTGGCATATCTGGATGGAAAACTCCCAGCTGTTGTTTCCACTCCAGAATTAGGAATATAGGTCATACCTTGACACAGAGTTTCTTCGATCCTTCGGGATTTAATGGAACCCGAAAAAGGTAATTCATCATGCCTCTTTATCAGCTTGTTATTTATTTTAATGGTTCACCGAGTGACAGTCAGAGTTAACCAGTGAACTGTGAACATGAATGGGAAAAAAAATGATTTCAGAAACAGGAGTGAGAGGAAGGAATTTGCATGCATCTCCTCTCAAAACTTCAGCTATTTTCTGAGCAGTCTGGTTCTGTTTTAAGGGTTACAGTTTCTCTGTGAATTCTCCTTCACTAGGATATCTTTATTCTCCTGGGACAACCTTCCTGAGGGCCTTTAGGGGTTCAGATGTTAGCAGTGGCTGTTTTCTGCTGGGTTTTCACCTCTGGGCCCTAAAGGACTGTTCCTAGCCTCACAATTAGGCATTGGCTGGGGATTCGGTGTCACCCAGGGAGGGCTGACAGCAGGTGAGTGCAGCTGGAGCAGATGGAAGGGGGAAGGTGACAGAGGCCTGTCTTCATGCAGATGTTCTCTGTAAATGCTCAGAGGAGCAGAGGGAACAGGTTGTGAGTGAAACACCAGATACCATTTGATGTAGGGTGAGTTTCATTTGTTTTATATTCAGTGTGGAGTATAGGGGCACACTTGGAGGCTTTGTTTGTAGCTCCTGAGGAAGGTTCTTCGCAGAGTGAGACTAATCATCTACTTACTGACCCTTTGAGCATTTGTGGAGTGTCTGCTGTGTGATGGGCCGAGGCCTAGGCATCAGGGACACTCTACATTAGACCGAGGAGGCGGCTGTCTGGAGAGAGACACATGAGTAATAAGCCGCCTTGACCATTGTGTGAGAGGTACAGTCATGGACGTTTGCAAAGGTACATGCAGTAGCTTCTGGAAGCTCAGAAAGTAAGGATATGCATCCCAGAGAAAGCACATCTTGTCTTTTGTTTTGCAAGAGAGAAATACATGCTCTTGATTAAATGTCCACAAAGTATAGAAAAGTACAGAGTAAAAGTCACACTTTTCTCACCTGTCTGCCTTCACCCTGCAGTCATGTATCAAGCCATAAAAGCCAGCTTAATATGTAATTATACTTTAATACATTGAAAAGAAGACAGTGAGAACTTTAAATGTCTTGTCCGCTTGCCACGCCCCTCTTCCATGACACATATCATTAGTGATTCACAGTTCCTGGGGGAGCCCTGCCATTCTGCCTCTGAGGTCAGACATGGCAGATGACCCCAGACCCAGGAGATGGACTATTGTCTCAGGAGACAAGCAAAGCAGACTAAGATGCCCACGAATGGCTGCTGGGTGGAGTGGAAGGAACAGATGGATAAAGGAGAGTCTGAAGTCCTCAGCAGATAGTTCAGACTTTAATGCCCTCTCAGGAACCAGGTACACAGGTACACCAGGCAGAGTGGCTGGCATGCAAGAGGCAGGCAACTGACTCCACCCCACCCCGTGAGTCTTTACACTCTTTCCCTGGGCTGTCTCATGACCTCACCTTTACTGTGGCTACTCACGCTCCGGTTGTCTTCCCCCAGCTCCCTGCCTGGGCAACACCACCCGTATATCCCTGGTCTCCAGGCTCAAGTGCACACTTACGGATGTCCACACCATGCTCCAGGTGTCCACAGTCAAGACACGCGTGTCCCGCTCCCATGCTCCCAAGCACCTCCACATTAACACAATCAAGGCCTCAGTATAGCCACATGGGCTAGAGCCATAAAAAGTCCAATTACTCCATTTACCCTACAAGCGTGCAGTCCTTACAGCTGAGCTCAGACTGTATCATCAACCTCTGTGTTTTTGAGTACTGGCTCCATCACTCAGCAACAGTCTGATCTTCAGCAGTTGATTTCATCTCTGCACATTTCAGAGGCCTCGTCTGTAAATGAGGATATCGATGATGATAGTTCATAGCGTTGTTCTGGAGATTTGATGAACTATCCAGGGATAGACAGCCTCTCCTGGGCAGACAAGTGCTAAAAGGGTCAGACCAGACAGTGCAGCCCAGTGTTCATAGTTTGATTGCTAGCATAGGTGGGATTGTGTTTCTAGATTCTTGTCTTAGATTTGGACCTGCCAGTATCTACGTGCCCAATGGGTGGTGGCAGCCCCCCTGAGCACTCAGACACCCAAATTTTCTGCAAAGAACTACATGCAGAATAGAGGAATGGCTCTGGGCTTGCAGTGGAGGCGAAGACTGAGCCCAATGGCTGGTGTACTTCACTGGAGAGGGGCCAGGCGGGGGCTGGGGACAGTCAGTGGATGTGACAAGGGACAGGCATATGTCCTCATACCGGGAACACGGGGCCAGTGTGTCCACCCGCCCCACTTCAGCAGAACTGAAGGAGATGGATGAGGGACTTAGGGATACAGTTCCTTATATTCCGACTCGGAGCAGGATAACGATCACCACAAAAATCAACAGCTGCCTTAAGGAAATGAAAATCTAGATGGGGTGGAAATTGGGTCAGAAACGGAATGCCCTTGTAAAAAGGAATTGTCCAGCTGAGCATCTGAGCGGATTTTTTTTCTTTCAGCAGCCTCATTGCTCTTTTTCCTCCTTACAGAAAATGAAGGAGTACCTGGAGGGCAGAAACCTCATCACCAAGTTACAAGCCAAGCACGACCTTCTCCAGAAAACCCTGGGGGAAAGTGAGTGTGCGAGCTGTGCGGGAGGCTGGCTGGGAGGGGAAGGCCGTGCCCGAGTGGCAGTGCCCAGCGAACGCCTCCACCCCGAGCCGGGCACCCCATCTTGTCACGTGAACACATTCCTTCCCCAGCCCCTTTGATGTACGAGCACATGCCCGGATGGCTGCTTGAGTAATGGGAGAGTCCGGTGCTTAATGAAGCACTAATGTACATCATCTATTTGTTTCAATGGAGCGTACTGCCTCCACACGGCCCTCCTTCCACTCCTCTGCTACCACGGGGAGGGGAGCTAATGATTATTTACTCTCCAGACATTTTGTTGAAACTCTCAGCTCCTCTGGGCAGGACTGAGACTGGAGCAAGAAGGCAGGAAGCTGTGAGGTGAGAAGCCCTGCTGCTCCGAGGCGGGAAGGGGCGTCTCCCAGGCAAGGGTGCTGGCAGCTGCTGCCTTCGGTGGCTTGAAAGTAGTTCGCACCTTCCTTCAGCATCAGAAGGGCCTGGCACTAAGTGGCCGCCCTCTCCCTGCCTTGGCTGAGCCAAGGCTGTGGTGCCGAGTGGACTCTCATCTCAGGGTGATTTTAACCAGACTCTTTGGAAAGTAGCAAGGCAAAGAACCTGCCGGGCACTCTGGACTTTCTCTCCTCAGCTGTCAGACAGAAGGCGCAGGTTGAAAGAGAAGCTTCCCTGAGGTTTTTGGAACCCTGCCCTGGTCGCCTGCTGATTTTTAGAATCCTCTGATTAATGGGGTTCCCAGGTCGGGGATGCCTCTGAATACCCTGCCCCACTAATCTCCTCACTTAGGGATGGGGAAGGTGGAGGCGGGGTGTAGAGAATATGAGTAGGAGCAATGACAGTCACACCTGAACTGAGCCTGGTGTTTTAAAGTCAATTCTTAAACACTTCGACCAACTGCAGAGCCTGCAAAGAACAGTACCTGCTGGCCCACTGAGTTGACCCCAGGAATCAGAGCCTTATTTTCATCCCAGAGCTTCCACCCCCATCCTTCTTGCCCTGTCTTCCTCCTGCCCTAGACAATTCCTCTAAGTGATTTATTCTTTAATCTCTGCTGTCCTTGATCTTGTGATTTTTTATTTTATGTAAAGAAATGCTAGTAACCACTGTTCTCTTTCCTCCCACCACCCACGGGACTCAGGCTGAACAGGTTTGGGCATTGAGATTTTGCTTATAGAAAATCTTTACTCTTAGATTATCAGATTGCACCATGGGAAATCAGGAAAGAATGCCCAGAATTATGTGAAGCAAGTTATAACTATGATTCCTTTTTTGACAAGATAACCTATGCATAGACCATAAGTGAGGTGAAGAGCAGTGCTTCGTGTGTATCTGTGTGTGTGTGTGTGTGTGTGTGTGTGTGTGAGAGAGAGAGAGAGAGAGAGAAAGAGAGAGAGACAGAAGGGGTTGGGGATTGGGTTTTCTCTTGTTTATCTAATATACCTGTTTAGTCCAAATCAAGCCTGATTAATTGTGTACATAGATTACATTGTAATCTATGCAAGAACACATGCATGTATGTTTTTTAAAAACAGATGTACACATACATACATTCACCAGATGTGCTACTCCCAAGGAGAAAAGGTTGGTGACCCTGCATTAGTATTGCAAATTGTCTTAATATAAAGATGACAAATTCTAGCAATAAAGGAAAAAAAATAGCATCAGACCTTCCATGTCAAGTCATCACAGCCCTGCCTTCTGTACGGATTTGTCACCATAATGCAAGAGTCCCTGTTCTTGCCACAGAGGGATAATTGATGTGTATGAATATTCCAGAATGGAAATGGGACAGATGTTGAAAATAATGGCTCAGAATAATATTTGTGCAGATGAAAGCTGAACCGTCAGTAATGAGAGGCTGTTATGAGTGGGAGAGTGGGTAACTCAGGATAAGCTGGACTCTAATCAACAATTAGCAAGCAACCTTTAAAGGCAAGAAAAAGCTCTCCCCCCCACCACCACCCTTTCCTCCGTAGGCTTGCCTTTCCAAAAGCAGGGAGTAGGAAGGTGAGAGCTGATCTCTCCCTCCCCAGTTCAGTGCTTGCTTGGGCATCTCCTTGTTTACCTAGTATAGGTCTAGCTCAAATCAAGCATGATGAGTTGTGCACCCAGAGAAGACAGCATAGATGGCCCATGTCCGCTTGCATGCCTGTGCTTTTAAAAAAGAATACTCATGAATTAAGACTCTCCACTTTCAAGGTTCGCTGTGGGTCATTAAACTTCATCTCCACTGTTGGTTGGAGAGCCACCGCTTGATGTTTTCAGTCACAGTGTGAAATCTCGTTTTTCCCCTTGGCCACCCCAACCCAATCTAGCATGAATCTAAAACTATTTCATATCTTCTTCCTCTCCCCAAACAATTCTTTCTTCCCCTCCTCAGAGAGAGGGGCGGGGTGACAGAGAGATCATATATGTGTCAAAAAGCAAGGTTGCCCTCCCTCCCCACCACACATATGCAAGAGAGGTTAAATCTCATCTCTAAGAAGTCTTCCAGTTATTTGTTCTTTATAGTGTGCTCTGCCTTGCTCTTTTTTTTTTTTTTTTTCTTCCTGCATCTACCCCTTTTCCCACTGGGAAGCAGTTTAACAAGCCTAGGGTTGAGGGATACTGGAAACAAAAGCCAGAGACAACATGGAAGGCGCTCTCTCGGCGACCGATTACGCGTGGTGATCCCTAGGAGTAAGCCCCCCTCTATCACTCCTTCTGCTTCAATACTGCCTTGTGCCTTTGTCTTCCCGACAGGTCAACGGACAGATTGCAGTCTGGCCAGGTAGGTGTGGCCTGGGGCTGGAAGGGGTGAAGGGAGGCGCTTGCTAGCGCATCTCCGCCTGGGAAAGCCCAGCAGCTCCAAGGGCTTGGATGACTTTGCAAGAGGGGCCATGGGAAGAGGTTGCTTACTGATGCCCTATAATCTCAAATGGAGATGGGGTTTACTGTGACTTTGGGGGAAAACAGCAGAACTGAGTAAGTTACCATGTGCTAAAATAGGTCCAGTGACTTCCTGAAGCCACTCCATCTCAAGGAAAGGTAATGTTCTATTCTGGGGGTCCTGGCAACCCAATATGAGTTGTTAGACTTAAGCATGTAGGCTTGGGGAAGTCTCTGACCCACAGAAGGGAGATCAGGAGGCAGCGTTTGACCTGGAATTTCTTGACGCATGGGAAAAATGACAGCCCTTAATAAGCAACTGCTGCTGGGTAAAGAAACATCCTGTGATGGGGCTTGCCCAACGGCATTGTCAACCTTCCCTGTGGACAAGCATGCGACCTCCTACTCTCTCTCCCACCTTCCCATCCTCCCCAATCCCAGCCATAGTTTCCCTCGCTGTCATGATGCTGCTATGGGCAAACTGGAGCTGGCAGCAAGCAAGGCGCTCATTCAGCCCACCATTTTCAGATGCCTAAAAATGTGCTGATTTAACGGGGGACAAGCTCCGTCCTTAGAGACCCTGGCTTAGCCCACTATGCCAATCACTTATATCTGCCAACACACACAATAATCATGAGGCCATTTACAATTATAGGCTTGTTATTTAGAAATAGCTTCATTTGGCTTTCATCGTTTTGTCATTATGGATTACAATAAAGATCTCATTAATATACCAGTCTTGGTGACTGCAGGGAACCAGGGCAGTGGAAGCCTGTGGAATGTGTCTTCTGGTGTAGGCTCAACCTGAAGCCTACATCTGCAGAAGGCTCCATGAAATTGAAAAGTTGAATTTCCTCATGGTATGCCCTTGGGTCACTCTGTTGTCTGAAATCCAATTTCTTTACCTATAAGACAAGAAGGAGCAGTCCACTAGATCAGGACTCTGGAGAGGTTTCCAGAGCAGCCAGGAGGCAGGGTAGGGGTGCCCGCTGAACAGGCTCTGGTCCCCACCTCCTCAGGGGACTCAGTGCTGCCCGCCTCGGGTGAGCTACTGAGCCGCTGAGTCACATTCCCTGGAAGAAAACACAGTTAAAAGTATCACTGAACGCATCACCAGGGCGCTGGACCGCTACCTTCTAAATGACAACAAAATGACACCTGTTTTTTTTTTCCCCAAAGAATTTCCAAGAGCGAACGCTGTAATTTCCTTTAGGGATTCTGGTGTCTCCTCACAACAGAGATATCTGATTGTCTAACTTAAAGGTGTTTTGCTGCAAATTCAAACAGCTCCCTTCTAGTTTCGAATAGTGACAGGCATTAAAAGCAGACATCTCTATGCTTTTGTGAAAAGAGCTTCATTGGACTTTATTTGGAAAATAAACTTAACCACGTCTCAGCCATTTCTGAGTTGAACAATGTGACCTGTTTCATTAACTGTCACACTGATTATTTTTAATCCCCTTTCTCTTTTCCTCCATGCTGCTGAATCGGTCTTCTCTGCTGGGTGGGCTCGACCACAGGCGTAGTTCAACCGTGAGGAAGCAGGTAAGCGAGAGCAGGCTGGCCTGGCCTGCGGTGGTTGCATCCCACTTGCAGGACAGATGCTCTGTCTTCTTGCCTGTTTCTGGAATGTGCCACTAGTCACAGTATGGTTACTGTCATGACAACTTCATTGGTTCAGCTTGTGTAGCTGGGGGACCCAGTCTTTCCGAGTTATTCCTCCCCTCACTGGTCATTTACCGCCTTGTGTACTGGAGCTCTGACTGTGGTAGATGATGCCAGAATTGCCCCTGGTGTCGCTTCTCTAGGAGACCACAAGAGAAACCTCGCATTTCCTGCGTAGTTGCCAGCGTGTGACTCCCCACTGCTCCTGGTGTGGTGATGAGATGTATCTCTAAGACATGCTAAAAATGCAAAGCTGAGTCTGCTCCAGAAACAATACACAAGAGATGGTGAACTCTGCAGTTTTGTGTACGATCTTCAGCGTGATACTAAGACCTGGCTTTAAACAGCAGCTCTCACTACCCACGTTAGGAGGACTCTTCAGAGGAGTGGTGTGGGTGAGCCACTCAGTGGATCATCTAAGTAGCCATTGTGCTTGTTTTAAAAAAAAAAATCAATGGAAAAAAAATTTTTTTTTTTGTACTAGCAAATTTGACTTCCTAATTATACTTTATGGCAAACACTAAAATGATTTTATATCCCTAAGCTCATACGAGCTATGCAGTCAGCAGTTAGGGAGACAGCTCAGAAATGCCCATGTGGTTGTGGCTTGTGATCTGGGCTTCACAAAAGTCATTTTGGGTAATTCACAGTGCCCCTCGCCACAGGGAGAGCATAGAATGGACAGGGTATCTGGTGTCTCTGGCTGGGAAGCCCAGTAACATACTTCTCACTAGTCTGTGCTTTGCTGTCATTATTCCCCCCACTTTGGATCTCATTATAATGAGAGCACTCTCAGAAACGATGGCACACTTTTTAAAAATGTCATTGTAACTCTTCTTCTTCTGGTTCCTCTACCTTTTGCCTTCTGCCCATAATTTCATTTAACACTAGAAAGGGGTGGTGTGCCCTTTTAAATTAATAGGTAGATTCCTGAAAGAGAGAGCTAGCCTTTGTTCCCGTTCACACTAAGAGCAGGCTTACACTTGGTTCATTCCTTTCAGCTCCTGGACTGGCACTGTGCCTTGGGCTTCTAGATGGAGCACTGTGCTTAGGCTCCTCCAGAGGGGAGCAGCACCCATCTGGTTTGCATCCTGCTGCACCTAAGCAGTTGCAGACAAAGCATTTTTGCCTGGTGCTAAATTCTGCGAGGAGTCCCCCCAAAATCCCAATGAAATAAAGACGTCCTTTCCATTCTGCTTCCCCAGCAGCTCCGATCCAATGGTGGATAGTAGAGACTTTTTCTAAAATAGGAGAACAGATAATAAGTAAGTTGGAAGTTAAGTCATCCTGTATAAGTAACCAGGGAGTAAACATTTGTTTGTGGCAAACCAGCCAAACAAAAGGCAGAATCTGATAACTGTTGCTCCTAACGGAGTTCCAGACTGTCAAAGGGAGAGCCCTCAGTCGCTGCCTCGCAGCCTTCCCTGCCCGCCCTGAGCCCAGCATTTCCGGTGTCCTGTTCCTGTGCGTTCCCAAGCATGGGCCTGTGCCTTCTCCCCATCTTCTGCCCCTGGCCACTTGTTCTGTTCCCCTTCCTGCTCCCGCTCCCCTTCCTGCACGTGTGTGCGTTCGCTCTGTCATGCTGTTACTGGGGTTTCAGGGGCCAGCACCTGGCTGAGCGTAGACACTCACACTTGAAAGTTGGGCCAGCACCTCCCACCCTCAGAGCCAGCCTCTCCCCACATTTCAGCCTCCATCCCCTCTGCTAACTTCACTGTTTCTCTTAGTGGAACACCTCTACCCTTCAAGTCCTGAGGCTTCTAGTCGTGTCTTCACTGCCTTTATTTTTTATCATTACGTACATTTAATCAGTTAAGACTTGTATTTTCTGTCCTGGTGAAAGTGGATATGTAACAAATATAACAGGGCAAACCTGGCAAAATCCTGTCTCTCACTCGTGTGAAATTAGCCAACACAGTGCCGTATCTAGGTAGTCTCTGGCCACCTTCCTGATTTTTTTCACCCTCTAATCACAGGCTTCCTGTTTTGTTACCTTGTCCAAATTATTCCTGCTCCCCTCCCCCTCCATGTTGAGTTTAAGATCCCTAATTTAATAGAATGGGAATTTAGTCTGATGTTCTTAAACATTCCTTCCAACCCTGAGATTCCGTGACCAAACTTACTGTGAATAAGTGAATGAAACTGAAACTGAAACTGACGTGGATTCTAATGTTAGAGGAGGGGAGGAAAAGGAAGGGAAGGGAGAGGGAGACTTAATAAGAAAGCAGATGGGTTCTGTGTGGTCAGCTGTACACCCAGTGATGGTGAGTGAGGATGATGGACCCCTCCAGGCACAAGGGGATGAATCACTTGGTGCTCAGATATTATAGGGGGAGGGAGGTTGATGGGAGGGCCTGAGGCTTTCCTGACTTTGTCCAGTTGCTCCCACTGAACTGTAGCGTAGGCTTCACTGGAGTAGTGACGACTGCGAGGGGCCTCTTCTGTAGTAGGATGGTCAGCACAGCTTCTTGCGCTGCTCGTAGCAATGGCCTTGCAGGTTAACAGTGCTGCCACCTTGCTCTCTGCGACCCGACCGTCTTTCTCAAGCCCCAGTTGAGATTCCACTTCCTGCATGTCTTGCCAGAATTTTGCACTCCTAGAACTGGTTGAAGGCAGCAACTTTTGAGCTCACCAGCTGATTTCCCTCAAGGCCTTTTCTTAGAAAAGTTCAGGACCAGAAAAACTCTCTAAACCCCCATTTTGCTATCCTCATTATCACTACTACTGCCATGTATAAATGAAAAATGGCATTTACCAACATGAAGGACTGAAAAGCAGCGGGTTTGTGTGTTTGTGGCAGAGGACAGTTCTTCCTTAGTGTGTGGGTGAGCTGACAGAGATTCTAAGACCACCCAGGCTAGTGGCAGGAGTCAGTGACGGGGACACATGTGGGCCTAGCCACTGGAGCTGCCGAGGCAGGCGAGCCTTGAGGCCCCTGTGCCTCCTGATCAGCCCCATCACCATGTGCCTGCTCCCTACAGCAGCACCGGGGTCCCAGCAAGCTTGGGGTCTGGCTTCTTCATGAGACCCAGCTGCTCCCGTGGCAGTGGCTAAGCCTCAGGGCCACAGTTGAGTACTGGGAGGCCACTGCAAGCTGTGAAGTGAGCAGAAGCCAAGGAGCTATGCTGCCTGCGTGTGAACATCTAACCTCTCTCGGTGGGGGTTCAAGGCTCCTGGTTCTTTGCATCCCCCTCCCCACTTAGCTGAATTGTGCATTGAGCTGCATCACCAAACCTGGCTGGAGCTGGCAGTGTCTGCCGGGGCTCCCGGGAGGCAGGATGGGTGGTGGTGCCATGTTCAGTCTCACGGGGAGTGGACCTGGGCTTGGACCTGGCTCTGCCAGTTGCAGCCACTCTAAGCGGCCATTTCCCCTCACTCCCCTGCATTTCCTCATTTGTCAGATGAGAAAGATACTGGATGCGCTTAAGGGCTGTTCCCAGGACCAGTTCATCTAAAGTACTTAATAGAATGTGGCCCAACGCTCTCATACATTCCTCTGTGAGTGGTAAACACTGATGTTCAGGTGCACGGGAAATGTGCTCACCTCCGCACCAGGCCTCTCCTCAGTGTAAATCCCAGATTGAGACTCAGAGATGTTAAGCAAAGGCAGGGCTGTTCAGCAAAATGCCAGAGGAAAGCTGACATTCGGGAGCCCTGTTTCCTCTTTTATTACCAGCTAGCCACCACTTTTTCCAAGAGTTGACTTTTTTCTTACTAATTTTTTATGCCAAACAGACCCCCTTTCTGAAGCTCCTGTTGGTTCTACCACCCTCATCCTGCCATCCTCAAGTGATATTGAGCACCTGTGACATACAGCACTGTGGCCAACATTGGACACCCCAGAACTGACCTGGAGCTTAACCTGAAGTGACAGATGAAATAGAGATCATGCCCACATAATCATGTCACAATTGAGGATGTTAGGGCCAAGTACAAGGTGTTGAGGCCCTGTAGACAGGGGACCTGAGCTCATCTGAGAGGAAAAGCTCTTCTGGACAAGTGATACTTGCACTGAGTCCCTAAGAATTGGGGACTCTGGGGTGAGGAGTGCATTCCAGCAGCAGAACAGCTCATGCAAGGCTCTGGGGCAAAGAAGAATATGTGAGGAACAGAAAGACTAGCGTGGCTTTGTCAGAGACATGGGGGAAGAGCAAGAGGAGAGGCAACTGGAGATAAAGACAGGGTTCCGGGGCACACAAGGGCTGTGCACAGAAAGGAGTGAGGAGATTCAACCTAGAGAGAAAGCACTTTGCAGTGGTGCACTTTGCAGACACCTCACCACTGTGTGAGGGAAGGGAAATAGGGATTGGAGGCCAGCAAGGGCGGGAACTGTGGTGTTGGTGGGTTGAAGGGGCTGGTGGTAGTAGAGATGGCGAGAGCTGAAGGGGTTAGATACCTGGGAGGCAGCCGTGACAGAACGTGCTGATTGGTTGGATAGCTGGAGCAGGGAGCGAGTGTGGGATAAAAGAGGAGCAGTTCTGTCTAGGCCCTGCTGACTCTGAGGCATCTGTATGGCATCCTGAGGAGACCACGCATGTTCGGAGCTTGGGCAGGCCAGGCTTCTTGTTAATCGGCCATTCGTCCTTCGTGAGACAAGTTCTGCACAGTCTGGAGCGTTTTCTCTGGCCCTGAACTACCCTGCTTCAAGATTCTAATACTGTATTTCTCTGGACTTTCAGGATTCCAGCCAGGCAATCCCTTTGGTGGTAGAAAGCTGTATCCGGTTTATCAGCAGACACGGTAAGCGGGATTCCAACCATGCCCATATTTGTGCAAAGTTGGGAAGAACTTCCAGGAATTCTTTATAGAGTAAGAATAGGGCTTCCCATCCTGACATTCTCAGAAAAGTAATAAAATCTTATTTGTTCATGTTTGCTACCTGAGAACCACCACTCCTAGACAGTGAAAGAAGACATCATGTGGTTTGGCCCTAAATGCCTTAGCACATTCATCCACCCACTCCCTGCTCTGGCTTGAGAGTTTCACATTACAGCTGGCGTATGTGTCAGTCCAGTTGGCATGATGTGATGGTAGTTTGGCCGTTTCTCACCATCTTTGCCCATGTTGGTATCTCCTCTGCACGGCCTTGACCGTTATGTCACTTTGGCCTCCTGCATCACACTGGCTTGACAACAGTTCCTTGTGTAATACTGCATTGATTCTGAGTAATATTCAGCTTTTGTTCTCGTTTGGTCTCACTGGATACATTGCCAAGAGCTCGTTTGTAGCCAGTATTAAAGCTAGATCCCATATTTATGTCTGTGGGGTTGGCTCCTTCTCAGCCTAAATCAAATCATGCTATATCTGCTTGAATCTCATAAATTTCATCTCTTACCAGCTCCTAGGTTAGATAGAATTTAGGGATGGAGATAAATTGCCAGAGAGGTGACCTTCTAAAGGTAAGGGTGTTAGGAAAGCACAGATATCTGATAGTATTGTGATTTTTAGGAACTGGGCATCAGAAATTATTTGTAGGCCTCCTTGGTGGCGTAGGGGTTAAGTCCCAGCTCTATCGCCACTATGGTCGGAGTTCGATCCCCGGCCAGGGGGCTAACCCACATAGCACAGCAGACCTCTCCTGACCCACACGCTGCTCCCCTCAGCAGTGTATTTCAGTACATCTGCCTGTTCTGCTCCCTGTTCTGTCTCTGGTGACTCTTCTTATCCCCGGCACCTCTGGCCTGTACCCCAGTTCTATATGCATAAATAAATAAATCTTAAAAATAAATAAAAGATGATCAAAACAGATAAGCAGTACAAGAAGTTTCAGAAAATAGTCAGAGTTCATGCTCAAGCAGTTGGTAAAGATAATCCAAACCAAGTTCAGAGGAAGAAGAATTGTGCATAGAAGACAATAAGGAGAGTCTGAGCTTCTGATGGTTCACTCACAGCAGACATCGGTTGGCTCTTTTATTCAACATTTATGTGTGTTGATTCCCTAGGGAGCAATTCTCCCCCCCCCCAATTGTTATGCTTTATCTATACAACTACATAATTTGGGGAGTACTCATAATTTGGGGAGTATTCACACCTCCATATGTGCACTTGCGTTATCCCCTCACCAGATCTCCAGTCCCACAACCATGTCACCTGCCCTCCTCCCCAATCCATCACTTAGTATATTTTTCAGAGTCCAAGATACTCTGTTGTTTTTACCAGTTTGTCTTCTTTGGTTATTTATATTTCACAAATGAATGAAATCACCTAGCAAATGTTTTTCACTTTTTGACATACCACTTAGCATAATCATGTCAAGATCCTCCCATTTGGCCTGAAAAGAACCTATGTCATTTTTTTTAAGTAGCTGAGTAGTATTCCATTGAGTAAATACTCCATAATTTCTTTATCTAGTCATCTGTCAGTGGGCATTTAGGCTGGTTCAGGATTTGGCTGTTGTGAGTAATGTTGCCATGACCCTAGCTTTTCATAGTAGTGTTTTCATTGTCCTTGGGTAAATACCTAGAATCATTTGGTATTTCCATTCCCTTTTTTAAAAAATCTAAAATTGCAGTTCTTGGCAACAGCACAAAATGGAAGCTGTTGTGCCATTTCCAAATAACTTCCCAAACAATCAGTTTTATACTCTTACATTAGTGTGTGCTAAGGTGGACAAGCTCATGGTGGTGTCTGTCTGGTGAGGTTATGTTGTGTGTCACATGTATGTTACTGCCTTACAATAAAGTCAATTGATTTTCCTTTTACTTTCTGAAACTGACCATTTATTAATAGTTCTATTTTTAGTTTCATTCAGTTAGACCTATCTGTTGAACAAGAACACACAGTTGTTGTGTAAAGCATAAATTCTGAGAGGAAGTGGAACCAGTCCAGTACATCTCAAGCTTGCAGCCGATTTCCAGTAAGCTGTCCTCTGCCCTTCTCGGCCTGAATCCCTGGGCCAAAGTTGCTTTCCTTGGAGGTCTCATCTGCCAAAGAGCACCAAAATGATCCTCGCAGCAACTATTTGGCCTCACCAGCTAGAACATACCATGTAGCCATTTCTTTATTTTATATATTGTGTTTTTGACAAGTCACTGAGTATGTGACTGTTTCTATCAGAACATTTGTTGTTTACATTCTGTGTTTAAGCAACATTGCATCAGTGTGCTATTGTATCCCACTAGTAACTAGTAATGGTACCATTACATTGATTGTCTACCATTCAATAAGGAATATTCTGGAGATGTGCTTAGAGAACAAACAACATTATGTCCTATTGCGAGCCAGGTAACTAACAGCTCCCACCCCCCTTCCTTACTTCTTAATGATGTTTCATTAGATTTTAGATTTCAGTCCTGGGCTTATGGTTTACCTCCAAGTCTAGCTGCTAGAATCCAGTCACCCCCTCATTGAGTTGGGAGCCCAAAAAACAGTGGGTAAAATGTAATGTGACTTGACTTTGTTTTCCTATGAAGAAGCTTAAGAAATCTCTAACATGTCAAAATTTTCTATAGATCATGCTGTAAGAGAGACACTTTGGTCATTCCCAAGATTGCTCCACCAGGTTCCTGGTTTCCCATGCCAGGTGTATGTAGTTAAAGACGCTACTTCAGCCCAGCCCCAGGCCAGCACAAATGACCTGCTTCCTGAAGCCCTTACAGTTGTATGCATGGTGCACGAAACCCGTAACCATATTCAAACTGAAAAATCTCATACTCTCTGTGCCCTTCCACTCTGGCAGGGCCCGCAGACTGGGCTGAGGAATGAGCGCACAGTCAGTCAGAGGCGAGGACACCCAGCCCGTGCAGCCTACGGCTCATCATCCCCCACCCCCACCAGAAAATGGATGTCCTCATGATGCCGACCTATATGGCTATGATAAGGACCAGTTGATTCATTTATGTGAAAGCATTTCTTTTTTTCTCTTTTTTAAACTCATGTTTTTCTTTTTGTATGTATTTAATTTATTTTTATATATTTTACATCATTGTTATTATTTTTTTTTTTACAATGTCTGCTTTCTTTTCTGAAGTGTAGTCCCCATAGAATTTCCACCTCCAGTTCACCATGCACCATCACCAGAGTCCCTGGTGCTCTTCCCGCCCTCATTTTGATCCCTCTCCCTACAGAATGTCTCTGATTTATGGTTGTCTGTTTATTTTTGTTTTGTTTTGTTGTGAGTTTTATTGGTTTTTCCCCCGAACCCTTATTTGGCTCCTCCATGTTCCTCCTGTAAGTGAAACCATTCGATAATTTTCTTTTTCCTTTTGCCTTATTTCACTGAGCATAACCCCTTCCAGCCCTATCCATGCTGCTGCGAATGGCATTATTACTCTTTGTGAAAGCATTTCTTAGCAGTCACTACACGTGCTTTATTTTGTTTATGATTATTTCCGCTCCAGCAAGTTCAAGAAGGCAGAGTTTCCACGCACATTATCATAGTGCAATAGGCCTGTGTATTTTGCTTTTAGAATGAAGCTGTCGCTGAGCACCCGTGGCTAGCACAGTGTCTGGTATACACTCACCTGACTGATCACTTGTCTTTCATGTCTCCTGTTTTTCCTGCGTATTGGAAACATTGTCCTTTAGAACAGCCAAACAGTGTTAGAATAGCTAAGCAAAAATTAAAATCACAGACCTTGTGAAACTGATAGCCTCTAATGGCATGCTCCAGTTTTCACTCCTGACTCTAGATGATACGAAGGTGCTAGGGCTACTGCATTGTAGGTAGAACAGCGGCCAACTGGGAGGCGTCCTGGCTCACGGGCTCTCTTGGAATTGGAAATGGAGCTGAATGTGGATGTCTCTTCTTGTGAACCAGCGCTTCCCTAGACTAGGCCTCTTCTTCCTGCCCTGGCTTTTCTCCCCCTGTATCAAGAACATCAAGGTGATAAATACACACTGCTGGAAGAGACTGACATTCACCTAAACTTGGAGCTGCAGCTGGGAGTTTGCATTTTCTTCTCCTTATCACTTCACCCTGTCCTTCCAGGACTGCAGCATGAAGGAATTTTCCGGGTATCAGGATCCCAGGTCGAAGTGAATGACATCAAAAATGCTTTTGAGAGAGGTGAGGAAACAGCCTTGAAAGTAAGACCCAATGCTTGCCAGTCCCCTGGGGTATTAGCTCCACCCTTTCTCCCGAGTGGTCGCCAGAGGCTAGGAGGGCTGCTTGTCCCACGTCAGCCCCACACCTGCCCTCTTGCATCATGCCACTCTAGTCAGATGTGATCTGGCAGGAACATGCCAGATCACATTCAACTTCCTTCCTTCGGAGCCTCGTTCATCCTGCCTCTCTCCGGAGGGTGATCTGTCAAAACTCAAGAAGTTAACTACGATCTCTGGGCGGTTTATGTCTGCACCCGGAACCCTTGGTGGCAGTTAATATCAAGGCTAATGCGCATGTTCATTGTAGCCCATTTATTATCTTGTGGGCTATTAAGGTAATAGGCAAGCTTTGGCAATTTCCGTCACTGTAATGGATATATATAGTTTCAATTTGAGGTTGGGCCTATCATTAAATCTAATTACATCTGATATGAAATTTTCCATAGGGAGCTCCAGCACGGTTGTTCTCCTCTAAGTAGGTGTCCTTTGTTGCAGGCCAGGAGGCTTGCGAGACCGCCAGAGGGGCTAGCCTCCCTGGCCTTGTGTCCCCACTCAGGGGCTTCATCCCAGTCTGGCAGCGGTCATACTTATGAGCGCCAGTGGCTGTGTCCTGCCCCCAGCCCACAGGCACTGACCTGAGCTAGTCTGGCTTGAGTGAATTCATGTTGGTCAGCCTTGTGTCCCTCTCTGGCCCTGGGGCCCCTGGATCTGCTGATCTGATCCTCGGCCCCTCACTCATGACCACCTTCCAGGGTAGAGATCGGATGGGCTGGGGTGAGGACTTTAGCAAGTCACCCCTTTCTCACCACCTCTGCTGCATCCTGTGTGTTTTTGCCTCTCTCTCACTTTCTCCTTTTGGGGGGGCTTTGTAACCTCAGGAGAGGATCCCCTGGCTGGGGACCAGAATGACCATGACATGGACTCCATAGCTGGTGTCCTCAAGCTTTACTTCCGGGGCCTGGAACACCCTCTCTTCCCGAAGGACATCTTCCATGACCTGATGACCTGTGTCAGTAAGTACCTTCCCAGCTGAAGATAGGTTTCTGAGCTGGAGTGCCGTGGAGCAGATGAGAAACATCCATGTATGGGCCTTTTCTCTTATATGAGCTTTTCCATAATGTCTTCCTTTCCCCAGCAAAGTTGATTCTCCTTGTCCTCACACCTTCATCCCCTGGTGGAGAAGTCTAGGGCCAGAGCTCCTGACTTACTTCTTTCCGATTTTCCTTAAAACACCTTTGCTTCACTGGGTTTTCACTTTCTTCAGTAAAACGCATTTATATTCATGTATAGGGCACAGTCCTTGTCAGCTAGTTGAAGGTTATACTTCAGTGCTTGTGCTTTTCCCTGACACAAGGGCAGTTGCAGAGGCGTTGCAAATACCCCGGTCATTGCTTTAAACGTGGTGTGGCAGGCCCACTCACCTGCTCAGTGCTATGCTTCTAGGAAAAAACAGTAGCCCTCTGCACATTTAAAAAGTAGCAATATGATCTTTTCCCAGAGAGTAAACTGTGTTCTCTAACTTATCCTTCCGGGAGACTCTCTGCCACTTACTCTGAAATTTGGAGCTTGCAAAGCTATTTCTGGTTATTTTGTTTAGATCCTCTCATTTGTTTTCTTTGGAAAATGATCCACAGAAATTTGGATTAGCAGCACGCCATCCTGGAAACAGACTCCACTAGAATAGGGCTCCAGAGGCTGCAGGAGGCAGTGTCTTTGATATGAAGAAAAGATCCCTCTTTCCAGATACGCTGGGGTTTTAATGACCCCCAGGTTGCCAGTGTGACCCAGTATATACCGTAAAGACACCCCCCACTCTGTTCCCTGAGAGAGGAGGCTGCAGTGGTCAGCAGCTGGCCCAGTCTTTGTGGGAATCTAGTGGATGTGAGTTCTGTGATGACCAGATGCTTCCCTCACATCTCCATGTCTTTCTCCAGGCCTGGCTTAGGTGGAATAGCTCTTATTTGGAATCACCAATCAGTATGAGATACCTTGGCTGCCTTATTCCTCCTTGAGATGTTCCTAATCCAGTGCTTCGAATTTGTCTTCCACATAAAGGCGCCCCTAGAAGATGAGCTGCCCATGCAGCACACTGTGGAAGGGGAGACAGGTCATGTTGGGGGCCCCAGCCCAGGCCTCTGGCTGTAATTGATCTGCCCACCGCACAAGAGACGCCACCACCTTCTCCCGATAGATCACTGCTTACCCAGGGTCTGCCACTTTTTGCCTCTGGCCATGCTCTACTCATCCCCACTACAGACAAGGGAGAGGGGGTGATAAGCCATCCTGTCTAGACTTGGACGCGGTGAGGCCCATCAGAAGAGGCAGGACAGGGCCTGTGCAGCCACTCCCTCCACACACATATGCCCTCCACACAGGGTGAGGAGCAGTCATGGCTATTGTTTTAATGAAAGGATGATCGTAGAAGGCTGCGGAAACCCCCTCTCCTGAGGAGCATACAGCTTGTAGTCCCACTGCAGTAACCAGAGTCCAGCCTGGACCTGCCGCGACAACTGTGCCCCAAGGAGTCGCGGGGATGGAGCTCCCTACACTGCGGCTCAGTGCTGGGCAGACTGGACCTGGCCGCTGCACCTGCCATCGGAGGGCCTTCGGGTGACTACTCCTGGGATCTCACTCAGGTGGAGGGTAACACAGGGCTTTCTTCTTTCAGCAATGGACAACCTACAGGAAAGAGCTCTGCATATCCGGAAAGTCCTCCTGGTCCTGCCCAAAACCACTCTGATCGTCATGAGATACCTCTTTGCCTTCCTCAGTCAGTGAGTAAACTTCCCAGTGAGCACCTGGCTCAGGCCTTGGCTCGAGGTTTACCTGGGGATCTGTGTCGATTCATCGGGCCCAGCAAATATTAATTGAATACCTGTTGTGTGCTGGGCACAAGGCAGTAAGAATACAAGGTTAAGTCATAGGCAAAAACCCAGATGTCATTGAGCTCACAGGGGGCCAGCAGTGCTTAGGACAGTTCAAGAAGACACAGTGAGGGCTGAAGCCCACAGGCATCTGAGCAGCAGCAGTTAGTCCAGCCTTCCTGGTCAGGGGGTGCTGCAGAAGCGTCCTGAAGAGGCCGTTCTGTGGTCTCAGCAAGTGGTGTAGGGGGCTCAGGCTGAGGAGATAATAATGGAAGGTGGGGAGGAAGGATCAGGTTTGGGATTAATTTTGAGCACCACATTGACAGGGCTTGGGCAGGATGAACATGTGAGGGAAAAGAGAAATTCTAAAATTTTGATGTGAGTGAGAGGGACCCTGCCAGTGATGCTGTTTATGGGCCTAGGGACGGCAAGGTGGAGGAAGCAGCCAGGACAGGAACCTGTGTGAGCGGGTTCATTTGAGGTACCTGGTAGACCTCCGAGGGACTGGGCGGACAGCCCTACCCTCGGGAGAAGCTGGACTTGGGGTGCATAAAGGGTCATTGTGCTTTGCAGCTACTTAGCTGGTCACCCTGGGAGTGGCCTGAGAACCAGAGGGTCCCGGGCTTGAACAGATGTCTTCCCGCCCGAGCAGCCTGGCCTCACCCGGGGCAGCCATCGGGGGCCTCTTGACAGCAAAGGGGAGGAGTGGGGACATGTGGTTCTTCTCTTGGGCTCTTCTGTTTTTTCACGTCGCTTTTACTCCCTCAACCTAGAGCGAGAGTCACTAGTAGGTGAACAGGGGCAGGTAAGGCCCATGATGTGTTTGCGCTGGTCTCTGTATCTGCAGAAACTTGAAACATTTAAATATCGGGTGCTATCACTTTTAACAACCTCGATCTCTAGCCTCTCTCTAAAGCAGTATGCTACCTAACCACATTGAACTTAGCCCTACCTGGCAGCCGCACCCCAGGAGGTAGGCCCGCTTCCTGGAGGAGGTGGCACTCCTTAGCCCGCCAGACCCGCTTTCCACACAGTGGGAAAACACTTCTCTGAATCCATGGATCTATGAAAGGTGGAAAAACAAGGGATGAGGGTGTTTTAGCTCATATTTCTTTGTGAAATGAAGGCTTCCTAGTCAATCAGTGTCTCCTGTTGACCAGTAACTGACCTCTGTGAGCCTCATCTGCTCCCCCAGAGTGTAGAGCTTGGGAGATGTGGACCAATGGTGGGGGCGCCTGAGATCCTGGGGGGAAGGTGTCTGTACGTACAATGGCGTCATTCTCTTCCTAGCATTTTCTTCCTGGGGAAGCAATGATGCCAGCATCAAGCAGGGCTAGGGTGGCACCATCACCCAAGGAAACAAGACCGCACAAGTCAGTGACTGCTTTCGTTTGACTTTTTCTTCTAATCAAAAAAAGATTAATTTTCACATCAGTGTATTTTTCATTGAAAAAACGCAGAATGAATAACACTGTGTTTCCTGAGTAATGAACGGAATACACACTGGGAGGACGCAGGGAAAGGTCACTTCTGTAGGCAGGGCAGTGAGGCTGTGCCTGGCAGGAAGGTGTGCCAGCAGCCAGGAAACTGCCCCTCATCCTCAGGAGTTTCTTCTTTGTTGCCTGGGTCTTGGGTGTGTATGTACTTTATTTCTGGCTACGGTCTTTTTCTTGGGTAATACACATCCTCAATCCTCAGTTAAAAAACTCAGAAGGCCAAATACATACATGAGTAGGATCCGTCAGTGCCGGGCCTGCCATATGGGTCTTGGATGTGGGCCTTCCGGCACACCTTCCTGATCATTGCCATTAACCGTTCTGCATTAGTTACATATGACATTAATTGCCTAGACAACAAGCTTTCTTATTATCACAGCATCCGTGGGCCAGGGGAGAGAAGCTAGTCTCTACTAAAGGCTCGACTGGGGAGGATCTGCTTCTAAGTTCAGGTTTGTGATCATTGTAGGCCTCCATTCCTGGCTGGCTGTGGGCAGAGGCTTCCCTTTGTCCTGTGCCTTGGGCCCACCATAGGACTGCTCACAGGAGGACAGCTGGCTTCTCAGAGTGAGTGAGCACCTAAAACAGAAGCCACAGTCTTATTTCCTAACCTGCGAGTGATTCATCCTATCTGCCATATTCCATTCACCAGATGTGAGTCACTAACCTTAACCCTCGCTCAAAGAGGGAGAATTCCGCAAGGGTGTGACCAGTAGGCAGAGGTTCATTCCACAGGCCTCCTGTTCCCCAAGGTCTGTAGTACTCAGTGAGTTTTGCCCCTCAACAAAGTGTGGCTAAGCCCCTCACTAGCCTGCTTGCCTTTGAAACCTGATTTCTTCAGGTGTCAAGTAGCTTTGGCTTCTAATCTGTCACTAGTCAAGAGAGGCTGTGGACCAGCAGGTCTTCGTGGCATCACCTGGGAGGCCTCAGAAATGCAGACTGTTAGCCCCTCCCACACCAGCCCATAGGAATCAGCAGTCTCTGTGGTTTACAAGGCCCCGGCCTGTGAGTCACACAGACAGGAAAGTCCAGAAAGCCACTCTCTAGGTCCTCACGCATTGTCTGTGGTTTCAGAGAGGCTCCCTGCTGCCAAGGGCTGCCCCAGTTGTGCTACAGAAAAGCTGAGTCTTGCCCTAAACGTCACCAAGCCCAGGTGCTACCTGGTCCGGGAAGACTGTCCTGGCTTCTGATTCTCCCACGGAGTGTTTTGGCTTCTGTATGCAAATGGACAAGTAAAAATGTGGCTAGATATTCTCAGAGACACATGACGCTCATCTATTTATTCACTTACTTTTTTTTAACGTATGTTTATTGAGCTCCTGCTATAATGATGCCAGCCAGTTTCAGGTACTAGCTGAGCAAGCTGTCATGGGGCTGGTGTTGGAGGATAAAGGCTGTAGAGGAAAATAAACAGGTAACAGGCCGAGAGTGCCAGGGGTCAGGCTGCACAGAGCAGGTGCCAGTGGGCAGGGGTGTGGGGGAACCAAGAGAGCTGAGTGCCTCGCAGAGAAAGGTGTAGCTCAGATTTGCACTAACGGGTCAACTAAGAGAAGGATTAAGACCTGATGCACCGAGGCTTCTGTTAGGGCCCTGATGAGCACTGTCTTGGCAGATCAGAAGGGCAGAGTCCTGGAGCTGTCAGTTCTAGAGAATAGGAGTGCTGGGAATGGGCGCAATAAGTCCACGCCACAGGCTGGCACTCGTGGAGGAAGGTAGGGGGAGCTGGCACATGCTGAACATGGAGGCACCTTGCAAACATCCGCTGAGTGGAAAAAGCAAGACCCAAAAGGCCACCTACTAGATGATTCCATTTGTATGAAATGCCCAGATTAGGCCAGTTCCCAGAGACAGAAAGCAAATTCGAGGAGCCAGGGTCTCAGGGAAGGGAGAAGGGGACGTGACTTCTCAGTAGCATGGGATTCCCTTTGAGGTGGTGGGTGCACAGGATTGTAAATATGCCCAGTGCCATGTGCTGGTACACTCTAAAATGATGGGCCAATTTCATGTGTATTTTACCAAATGAAGGCAGTATTTGGTTGGGTGTTACTTAATGACCATCCGGTCAACAGACAGACCACACACACCAGGCCGTCCAGTTGACGCCACTGTGCAGCCCAGCTGAGGAGCAGACACACCTCTGGTTTGTGTGATTACACAATGGGAAGTTCACAAGTGACAGTGCCCTGACTACCCCTTCCTGGGGCAGGCCCCTTTGCTAAGTGACCTGTGACCGTATTGGGCTGCCAGGGCTGCCCTAACAAGAGACCATGGACTGGACCACCTCAGCGACTGTTCATTTTCTCACTGTTTGGATTCTGGAAATCCAAGGTGCCAGCAGCATTGGCACTTGGTGGGATGTTCCCTGGCTCCAGCAGTCACCGTCCCACAGGTCCTCGCCTGGCCTTTCCTCTGTCCACACATGTGGAGGGAGAGAGCTCTGGCATCTCTTCCTCTTATGAGGACACTAGTCATATTAGGTTAGAGCCCTCATGCCCTCACTTACCCTCAGTCTCTCCTTAAAGGCCTTCTCTCTAGATACAGCCATTTTGAGGTCAGAGGTTCAGCACAGTTTGGCAGGGACCCATAACAAAAAAATGAGAGACAGCAGAGTTCTCAGAGAGTTTTGCTATAAAGAAGAGGTGAGAACTGGGCAGTATTTTTGTGTGAGTGTGGAAGGGATTTTTTCTTTTAAGATTTATTTATTTATGCTTACAAAACTGGGGTATAGGCCAGAGGTGTGATGGGTGAAAGGACTCACCAGAGACAAAGTGGGGAGCAGGACAGGCAGATTGACAAAGTACATTGCTGAGGGGAGCAGCAGGCAGGTCAGGAGAGGTCTGCTGCGCCATGTGAGTCACCTCCCTGACTGGGATCGAACTCGTGCTCCAGTGACTTCAGAGAACTTCATAATGCAGTTTTAACCTGTTGCGCCACGAGGGGGAGCCCAGGATTGTTTTTTAAGATGGTTACCATTACTGCCTGTTTTTTGGCTGGTGGGAATCTTATAGATCTTATAGAGCCAAAAAGCTGGCGGTGAGGTTATAGAGAGATGAGGGACCACTGATGGGGTGGGATTTGGTACGAGGAGGTGCGAGGCTTGCTGAGAGGGAGAAGGGGGCACATAAGGGCACAGAGGCAACCTGGTGAGGAGGGTGAGAGCTTGGAGGGCATGGTTGGTGGCATGACAGGCACTGTGAGGAGAGGCCTCTGAAGAACACCCAAGGAATGACTGAGCCACCCTCACTTCTCGCCTCAGCCTACTGGGGAAGGCTCTAAATCAAGGTTCGTTATGGCAGTTGTGTTGACTATTAGGAAGGTCCAGTAGGTTCACAGCCCCACCTTTGACCCTGAGCTGTGCCAAAGAACACCATTTCTCCTCATCCCTTTCAAACCTAAATCAGCACTGGCCCATAATATCTTATCCATATCTTTCTGATTGCTGCCAAATCAAACTTCTGGAGCTTGGGAAATGGAAGGTTTTGAAGTAAATGTGTAAAGCAGCCTGACCAGAGTCTAGTGCTCTGCCCGAGGACTAGATGCTTTCATTTGAGATCAGTAGTTAATGCCTGTCCGGGCAAGACGACCCACACTAGGCTCCTGCCACATGTGGTGGCCTTGCTTCCTGCCCCCCACTCAGTCAATTGTCTTGAGTTGAATGTGCAGAACCTTGTAGTCACAGAAGACACTTTTTGAGCATGGGGCACACACACTATGTGCTTCACAGCTTGTCTTAGCTTGGGTGATCTCCACAGGGACCCCCTAAAGGAGGTAAACGGCTTCCCCATTTCTTAATCAAGAAACTAGGGAACTTGAAAACAGCCAGGAAATCTGTAAGCAGTGGAGCTGGAACTCAACATTGGGCCTACTTGACTCTGAAATTCGTGGAATGTTTTCCTTTTCTTTGTGATTTAATCAGAGATGATTACACAGCATTTAAAAGTAAAACATCCAGCAAAGTGTAATTGAAAACAAGTTTCCACACCAATTCTTTCTCATCCAAGCAGTCATCCTAGCCACACCCCTGAGCCTCTCTAAATTCTCAGAAGACAATCAGCCTTCTAATTGCTTCCCTCCTCCTTGCTCCTCTGTGCTTCCAGGAACTGGCCAGCCTGGAATTAGCTAGTGGCCCTCCTGCCACGGTTGTCCCTGTTAAAGTGACCAGTTTATTGGGAGAATTCATTAATGTTATGGACAGAAACTATAGAAATGCAGCTCAGCAATTAGAGAAATTGATGTGCATATCAACTGACACCAGAAAATATTTCTTAAAAGAGTGAGCTGTTACTGATAATAGCCAATGTTTATTTAAAAGTAGAAATCCAATGTTAGAGGGCTTACACTTCGGTATCTTCAAGGCTCACTAGCACTGCTGTCTACAAAATTGTGTGCATTTGGATGTGCATATATATTGCTTTTTCTAGGGAGAGAACCTCTAGTTTTTGTCAGATTCTGGAAGAAGCCAGTTCCGCCCGCCACCCTCTGCGCCCCCCCAAATAATTAAGAACCATAGCTTTAGCCCCTAAACCTATGTATTCCCTTTGCAGAATGGAAGAGAGAGAGGACCTTTGCCTATTTTAATAGACAAAAAAATTAATCTGAACCCTCGAGCCCACGCTTCAGAAAAGTGGTTCTACCCCCTGTGAGCATCATGACTTGTGATTGGATAGCCCACAGCTTTGACTCGGACTGTTCGAGCTGCAGCCACCAGGCTTCCCAGAGACTACTGATTTTCTTCATATTACCAAGCACTGTGAGCTCACACTAAGAAACAGGGTCTCCCTCTTCTTTGCCCTCTGTGATTCCAGAACTGGCCAACCTGGAATTAGCTGTGGCTTTAGTTAGTGGCTCTCATGCCATGGTTGTCCCTTTTGAGGTTACCAGGATAATCCTCTCTCTGATTTTTATTTAACCAAGAAGCACACTTGGAAACTTCTTTGCTGAATCTCTCTTCTCTTAGCTCAGGAACCGGAGAAGGGCGATAAAACCAAATATTTAAATCTCCCGCACACATCTCTCTGAACCTGACTAGGTCCTAGAGGACAGCGAGTCTCCCCACAGTTGCTGCTCACGTCCATGGTACCACTTTCCTGCTCTGCAGTGGTTCTCTAAGGGGAACAGGGGACCTATTACGGCTTCAGTAGAAGAGAGAACCATTCAGCTAGAGACCAACTTGGTAATATGAGCCAGGGATCAGAATACGCTTGAAAGAAGCTGCCCCATTCTGAAGACCAGCCACTGAGATTAAGATAGGTGAATCTCAGGCCAGCACCAGGGGGCTGAAGTTTCTCCTTAGGGCCTGTCAGAAGCAGCACCCTACTTCCTGCTGATGCCCACAAGGGAGACAGGACTCCTTCACCAGAGCTCACAGCTCTGCAAGCAGAAGGGATGATACCCAGAGCCAATCAAGCCCCAGTGCCATGACAGAGAGACCTCTGGGGCCATGTCTGTGCCTCACTAAAGGACCTAGGTCCTCAGCCACGGTGGGAGGTGTGGCTGGAGCAGCTGCTGACTATAAAGGAGAAGGGGGTTCCTCAGCAAACACCTGCTAATAAAATCAGATGGGGGATGCCTGCGGAGATGGAGCAGCAGGCTGATCTGTTCCAGAATAAATCCCGAATATTATAATAGAGGAGAGTATTATGAAAAACAATTGCATTATCTGTCCAGAAAAAAATCACTAACTTAACAGAATGTGAAAGCTAATCGGTTGGCTAGTCTATAATTCCAGAGTTTGGATGGAATCACCCCACAACCTGATTGTGTTTCCAGTTGAAAAGGGGCACGCACACAGCACCAGCCCCTGAGCACGTCACTGTCTCCACCCGAGGGCCTCTGCTCAGTGGCGAGGCTGTGAGGCCACGTCTTGCCCCAGTGGTGTGTTGTCGTAACAAGGTGTGTTTGGTAGACGAGGTCTAGGCAAGGATGGCAAATAGGGGAGTTGAAGAGATAGGGATGAGGCCTACAGGCGCACCTGCACTTTGCCTCTCCTTGGCTCCTGAGTGACCATCCTGGAGCTCATTCTCATCTCCCAACCTTCTAGAAGGGCCCTGACATTGCTGAAGCAGGGGGCGACTCACAGGACGTGTGCTCCTGCTCTTGGCGGTGCCTCCCTTGATTGTTTCCTGAGCATTCATGCGTGCCCTCTCCAGCTTGCCCTCTCCCTTCTCCTCCAGCTTGTCACAGTTCAGTGAAGAGAACATGATGGACCCCTACAACCTCGCCATCTGCTTCGGGCCCTCCCTGATGTCAGTGCCTGAGGGCCACGACCAGGTGTCCTGCCAGGCCCACGTGAATGAGCTGATCAAAACCATCATCATCCAGCATGAGAACATCTTCCCAAGCCCCAGGGACCTGGAGGGCCCAGTCTACAGCAGAGGAGGAAGCACGGAGGATTACTGGTAGGGCTTCAACCTGGCGGGGGCAGGGCGTGTCTGAGCACACTGGTGAGGGGCCAGATGGCCAGGCGAGATCAGCAGGGACCTGCCCCGCTCCCTGCCTCCCCACCCCAGTGCTCAAACTGCCAGGTCTCCAGGTGAGGCTGGCAGTACCCCACTTCACCTCCAGAGCAAGGCCATTTCACATCACCTCCCTTTTTCATGAGTTCACACAGTGAAAGACAGTGGCGGCAGTGAGGGTGGTGCTTTGCCTCTGGGACTGCGCCCCTGTCATCTAGGTCTAGCTGCTGGCCACAGATAGCAGAGTTTCAGGCTCCTGCTCTGTCCTAGGTGAGGGAAAACACAGGTCCCAGGATTTCTTTCTTAATTAGGACGAGTTTAGCTACAAGGAATGATGTCCTGACTGAGCGTTATTAAGGTGATCATTTAGAATGGTTCCAGAAATCTGTGAAGAGAAAGAAGGGTAAGCTCCATCATTGGCAGGTTAGGCACAGTTCTGCCCTCAAGCAGGATTAGATTCTGTGGGCCAGACCTTTTGTGGCCTAGTCTGAGAGCAGAGATAGAGCAGGAATCCCTAGGGCACCCCCATAAGACCAGTAATAAATGGCTGTATCTGTTTTACAGATAAAGTCAATGTGACCCACAGGGTCGGTGGCACTCAGTACACCCAGTGATGAGGCCTCCAAGCTGGGCCCTCGCCTGTTAGTACACATACCAGCCATTACTCCACACAGCTCCAGGACATACTCACGAGGACATTTTTCCACTAAACGCAGACAACTGTCTTCATCTGTTACTCCCTGGTGCCCCTTCCCTTCCCTTCTTCCCCTAAATAAGTTCCAGCCTGGGCTAAAGCATAAGCCAGCCCAATAAGATTCTATCAGAGTACAGCAGTTAATGCAGTCAGCCCCAGCACCACTGGCCAAGGTAGGGGCACACGGGGTTTACTTACCTGATTAGAAACCTTGATCCCCACAAAAGGAGCCTCCTGCCCAAGGAGTGAAGAAAGTGATATTCGCATGTCTAAATGAATCCTCACTGACATGCCTGGGTCTCAGCTCTGCTGTCTCAGATTCCAGCCTCTGAGCCTGTGTTGGAGAAACATGGGCTTGCTGCTCAGAAAGAGTGTTTGGTCCCAGCAGATAGCCAGGGACAACTGGGGAAGTTTCAAGGCCTAGCCTTTTGGCTGTGGGGCCCCAGGGACTGTCATTGTACATGTGACTCGGGATGCAGCTTCCCTTCACCTGGGTGTGGAAAGCTGTGGGACACTGTCCCCACCCCCTACTTTGCCGTCCTTCATATCTCAAGACTGAACTACTGCAGGGCCTGGAGCTCAGGACACGGACCCCCAGCTCTGCTTCCCCATCCCAGCCTAGTAAGCCCCAGCCTGCGGGGTGGGGTATTTATTCAGCAGATTGAGGACAGATAGGCACCTTCCTCCATATTTCTCCGGCATTCCTCCCAGCACTTCATGATGGTGCATCTCCCTTACTGTCAGTCTGCAGAAATGACAAGATTTGTCCAGTAATGTTATTTCCATGGACTTGGTAGGAGACTCCCAGGCCCCAAGGAGAGACACCTGTAAGTGCCCTTGGTCACAAAGACCATCAGCCCCCTGGATTCACACCCACTCAGAAGGCCCCAGCCGCTCCCTGCTTTGGGGAGAAAGAAGTGCCAAAACAAGTGAGTTAAAACCAGTGCAGGAGTCAAGGGATGAGTAGAGACAAGGGGAACAGCTCCTGGTGGTGGAGAGAAGCTGATCCCTTTCCCCGCACTTAGCAGCCCCGAAGACAGGTGTCCCCTAGGGCTGCAGGCTGGGCTGCAGGCTGGGCTGCTTCTGGAACCGCCATTGTGGTGAGCTGGTGGGTGGGAGTGGGCACAGTGCTATGTCATGAGACATTCAGGCACCCCCTGAATTTGGGAAACAGACATCTTTTTTTTTTATTACAAAGTTTTTTTTTACATCATTTTGCACATTTTTTTTTCCATCTCGATTGTAATCCCCGCGGGTTTCCCATCACGAAATCACCCCTGTGCCACCACCATAGTTCTGTGCATTTCCCTCCCTCCCCCTCCCCCCCGTTTTTGATCCCATTCCCCACTCCGCCCCCGCAAAATGTCTCTGGTATATGGTTGTTCATTATTTTTGTTATTTTCTCGCCTGGTCCATTATACTCCTGCTATGAGTGAAACCATCCAGTATTTTTCTTTCTCTTTCTGGCTTATCTCACTAAGCATGATCTTTTCCAGCTCCATCCAAGTTGCTGCAAAAGACATGTATTTCTCTTTTTTGGTTGCTGAGTAATATTCCATTGTATATATGTACCACATCTTTCTAATCCAGTCATCTACTTTTGGGCATTTGGGCTGCTTCCATGTTTTCCAATTGTAAATAAAGCAGCAATAAACATGGGGGTACAAGTATCTTTTTCAATCAGTAGATACCTAGGAGTGGGATTGCTGGGTCGTAGGGAAGCTTCATGTTTAGCAGTTTGAGGAACCTCCAGACAGTTTTCCATAGTGGTTGTACTAGTTTGCATTCCCACCAGCAGTGCAGGAGAGTTCCTTTTTCTCCCCATCCTCGCCAACAATTGTTGTTGCTAGTTGTTTGAAGATGTGCCATTCTCACTGGGGTGAGGTGGTATCTCATTGTGGTTTTAATTTGCATCTCCCTTATTACGAGTGATGTTGAACATTTTTTCATATGCCTGTTGGCCATCTGCATTTCCTCTTTGGAGAAGTGTCTTTTTAGCTCTACTGCCCATTTTTGGGGTTGTTTATTTTTGTTGAGTTTCATCAGTTCTCCGTATATTTTTGTGATCAGTCCTTTATTGCTACTTTTGTGTGAGAAAATGTTTTCCCAATTAGTGATCTTTCTGTTTGTTTTTAGTAATGGGAAAACAGACATCTTAACAGGCTGCAGCATAAGTCACCTCAAAGCTGTGGAGAAGAGGAAGCCTTTTCCTAGCTTACCTTAATGTCACCAAACTCATCAGAGAGTTTTTAAGCCCAGAAAACAGAAATTGTGTTGACATAGTCTGACTAAAAGAAATCCTGCTGCTGTTCTTCAAAATGTCCTCTGGAGTCTGGTGATCTTCTAGGAACTGGCTTGCTTTATCCAAGAGTTTTGAGCAGTCGCTGGTCTTTGAATAGCTTTCCACCCCATGGAAAAGAGGCTGAAGGCTCAGAGGTAGAAACTGAGAGTAAGGTGTGGGGTGGAGCGAGTGCTGGTGCTTCCACCGAAATGTCTGGAAACCCTACTTGTCGCTACCATATAGTTACTATAGAAATAAACAGGATCGTTCTCTGCTTTTGAGGAAGCTCTTCCTTGTGCCCATCCCCATTCTGAGTTCGTGAGCATGATCACCTTTCTTATTCTTTACCCTGGATGATTCTAGACTCCATAAATTTGTCTGTAAAGTTGGCTTGGCTTCCATCCCATGCCCCCTTGGGATGAGTCTAGCCCACCACATAGCTCTTGTTGTCCACCCATTTCAGTAACTCACCTCCCATCTTCTCACCAAAATGGCCCAGAGACACCGGGCAGGGTGAGTGGAGGAAAGGACGGGCCATCGCTCAACAGCGCCCTCACCAGGCTCCTCCCTCCCTCAGTTTATTGAGTCCTCACACAACGCTGTGACGTGTACAGGTCATTGTCCTCAGTGGATAGATGAGGCAGCTGAGGCTTCGAGAGAGTACCTTGCCCAGGGTCACAGCTACCTAATGCCAGAACTGGCTTTGTTGTTGCTGTTGTTTTTTAAAAGGTTTATTTATTTATGCATACAAGAACTGGAATACAGGCCAGAGATACAGGGAGTGAGAGGATTCCCCCAGAGAGAGAGTGGGGGACAGAACAGGCAGACCCACTGAAACACACTGCTGAGGGGGGCAGCAGGCAAGACAGGAGAGGTCTGCTGTGCCCTGTGGTCAGCTCCCTGGCTGGGGGTCAAACTCGAACTGCAGTGGCTGTGAACAGCCTCGTAGTGCTGCGCCTTAACCCCTTGTGCTACCAGGGAAGGCCCCAGAACTGAGTTTGGATCCTGTTGTGTCTGATGCTAAAGCCTAACCTTCTTCCAGGAACTAATTCATCTAGAAAATAGCCCCTGGGGATTTTCTAAGTTAAAAAGGTATCTTCTGTGTTTCAAGATATCCCAAGCCCCAGCCACTCTCAATTAGTTTTCGTAGCAGGCACTAAACTAGAGGCTCTGGAGCCCCCTCTCTCCATTATAAGCCCTGTGGGTGCGCGCAGTCAGAATAGAGATTCTGTCCCTCACTCTGAGCAAGCAGCAGGAAGGAGACAATCCTGTAGATAAACGCTGATGTCCAGCCATTTCGCTTCTGTTGCAGTGACAGCCCTCACGGAGAGACTACCTCGGCCGAAGACTCCACCCAGGACGTGACCACTGAGCACCACACGAGTGATGACGGTATGAAGCCAGCTCACTGGTCAGGGGCCCAAAGGGCACGAGGCAAGAGAAAGACGCTGTGGCTGGTGCTCCTGGTGAACTCCCTGCTCAGCTGTCCCCTGCAGACAAGTCAGGAGTGTTTCTGTCTCTCACTTCACTCCCTCCCCTTCAGGTGGAGGCGGGGGAGAGGGGAGAGGGGACAGCCTGCCTTAAACAGACTGGCCTCATTGTTAAACTCGGAGAGGAGAGCTGAGGCCTGGGCCAGCTCCATGCCCCTCACCCAGCTCCAGCGCCCTGTCCCACCTGGCTATGTCACCTGCATGTTGGCCCCCACCCACAGTCCAGACTCCTGCCAGGTGCCTGGGAGCCAAAACAAAGGAGACCTCAGTTGAAAAACAGCCTGGAACGGTGTGCCAGGAGCCCAGCAGAAGCAAGTCAGAGGGCGTGGGGGAGCCAGGATCTAGAAACCACATGCTCTCATGCCCCCCTAGAAAACTGACCCTTCCCAGCTTGTCAGTGTGGAGTGCTGTGCAGCCTGTGGGTGTGTGTCAGGAGATGGCACGCACAGCTGTCAGCCCTGGCCCCTCGGTGGCACCCATGATTTATTAGGGTTTGTCCAGCCAACACATTTCCCTCCTTCCAGCAGCTCCAATTATGGATTGCTTTGGCTGTGGAAGTCTCAGCAGCTGACAAGGAGCCTCAGAATTTTCTGGGCATAAGAATGAAATGGCACAGTTCGCACATCTCTCCTTCCTCCCTGCCTTGCTGTGAATTCTGCAATCCTAGGCCAGCTTTTAAAAGAGAGAAAAGTTAGGACTTCTCATTTGGATCCTGACATCAGAGAGATCAGTGTGATAATTCTCCACATTATGGGGAGTCAGTGACCTGGGGAAGTTCGTGTTTGCTTGGAGCCTCCCTTGTGCCCAGGCCTGTGTGAGGTGTTATAAGCCAGATGGCTTAAACCCTAGTGAAAACGATGTAGCCACAATTTCAGTTGAGAGAACTGAGGGCAGAATGAGGTCAGATGACATGGCCAAAGCAGCATAGAACCAAGGCCTGACATTCCGCTGGCCTGCTCTGGCCTGCCGGGTGTGGGGGTAGGGGGTGGGGAGGAGGCCAGCATCCTTTAGGTGGCCCCTTCTGAAGTAGAGCCCAGTCACTGCTTGCTGGGCATGCTCTTATTTTTTTTTTTTTTTTAAGATTTATTTATTTATTCATACAGAACTGGGGTACAGGCCAGAGATGCGGAGGGTGAGAGCATTCACCATGCTGCCATGCGGTTGGCTGTTTTCTTGTCTGTA